CCCCAAAACCCCAAAACCCCAAAACCCCAAAACCCCTCCAAGAAACCAGACTATAGAATTAATCTAAGCCAAAGTTAAACTGAAGTTCGGTTCCAAACTCATAATCATGCTTGTGTACTGCAACTGAGTAATACATCTCTGCTGAAAGCAGCTTGTGAATGAATTGGAGCCCAATTCCTGCTGAAGCAACTGAATTGTTCAATATGTTGCTCTCAATTCTCTCTCCTTTCTTAAATTCATCAGGAAGTATAGCCAAATTAGTAAAGACAAATGGCCTAAATGTTCAGTCATACTGGTCAAGCTGGTAACGACCAAAGATAGGCAGGTTAGGAGAAGTAATCTTCAGACCAAGCTCGAGTGCATGGGTGTGGCCGAGACAGTCTCCTGTGGGAAGATAGTTCCTATCCTTTACTTGAGCCTCCTGGCCAGGTCTGTGATACTTTTTGCCAACATCTCTGACACCTTTAAAGTTTCTCAGTAAGATCCTGTCGTTAATCGAGTATTCTTTATGGTTTCCAAGACCTAATAGCTTATCGTACTTAGCAAAGGTTTGAAGATAACAATTACCAACAGTATGAAACCTCCTATAATGAGATTTGAAATGCAAGAATTTAGAATTTATTTGATCAGTGCAGAACTCCCCACTCACTTCCATAGTATGTCCCTCCGAAAGCAGAATATCCTTGAACTTGCTTGAAAGATACCCAACTTTAACGGCCAAAAGCCTGTCTTGGTTGAGTGCAAGATCCAAAAACTCGGTGCTTGCCTTGTTAGTATCGATCTCATTAGACCTCCTCTTGCTATAAATCTTACAGAAATATTCCTTATTTTCATCAACAAAGGGGCAAAGAGGGAAAAGCACACTTGGTTCTGATAAATATTTATGGAAAGTGACACCTGTCTCTCTCTTGTACTCCCTAGCATTGATGCCAATGTCCCTCCTGGATAATTCACTTGAGAACTCAATGTTATACCCTTTGTGCTCTTTAAAGAACTGGTGGAAAGACATAGCCCATTTCTCTCCAAATCCAAACCTCAATTGGGTCTTGTCAAACTTCTTGAACAAGGAACTCTTCGGATACTTTGAAAGATTATATCCAAAATAGTGATAATTCGGATTCACAAAGGCTGAATAGATAGGATAAAACCAATAATTTGGTGTCTTTTGGAAGTAAAAGTCCATTTTAATCTTATCTATCGCATCTCCTGGTAGATATTCACAATTGGATTTCTTGAGGCACTGAGAATACTTCTTCACATTCTCCAAAAACTCATAACAATGGTTCATATTCTCAATAAGAGTGACCTTCTCATCAAACGAAAATATAGATGCCTTTGTCCTATCAGCCAAAAACTTTCCATCCTTCTCAGTGACCTCCTCTTGCTCTTTCTTATGGTTCTTCACACTAAAGCTCACATCAATCCCCAATAGTGGGTTATCCTGGCATGCTTGGAAGATAGTCTCATCATCAAATGGATCTGCCATTTTTAAATAACTTAATATAATATTATATTCATGGGGTTTTGGGGTTTTGGGGTTTTGGGGTTTTGGGG